TATTGTGAACAGTGTGTACTACAAGCCTTACATGAGTGTAGTCAGCCCAGTTACAGGTGTGATTTGAGACAGAATAGTAAACCAGTGCAAGCTGTAAAGTGTGCATGATTTTTTGTGTTCTCGTGGCCTGATTATGAAATAATCCTATTTCATAGGAATAAATTAAACCAGTGACAACACATAACTTTGGGTTTTTAAACTTTTTGTCTTTGCAGCCTTGGGTAAAGCTAATGAGGCTGATAATGAACATTGGTTTCATTGCTCTACTATAATTTTCTCTATCCCCTTTGGAAGCTTTGTTTGTTTGTTTGTTTTTTTCTCCAGTTAGCTATGCTTTTTTCTCACATTTTCTCTGGATCTTTTAATTGTTCTTTCTTATGGTCTGTTTCTACTGTGACTGTACTAAGTTACCAAGAGATTAAAGAAGCTGAAACACTTCTGTTTGTGGAGAAGGCTGAAGGTGAATATGATAGAGTCTTAGAAAAATCATAGGGGAGTGCAAAACTGCTGTTCACGGTGTTCCACGGAGCTAAAAGTAATGGAGCAATTGGTGAAACTTCTGTAGATCCATGCAGAACCCACAAAAGGAAGTCCTTCTGTAGTTTAGTTTTGGAACTTGCTGCCACAGGAATTTGTGGAAGCAGATAGTACAGATAGGTTCAAAAAAGTATTAGACAAATTGTTAACAAAAAGCCTTTAAGCAGGTATTAGAAGTAGGTGAGAGTGTGCCTCCTAACATGTTTCATCCAATGACTAGGAATGCTGAGGTAATAAGAGAAACATATCACTGATAGTGGCCAGCCTAACATGCTTTTTCTAGAGACACTATTGAAGACTGAATACTTGTCTGGATGGTTCATTGGTTTTACCAGGTAGGGCATTGCATATGAGCTTTCATAGGTATTCTGGCTGAGTCATATGGTTCATGTCTATGTTTTAACATACACTAAGAATAAATTTATAAGAATATGTCTTAGTCAAAGTCCTTTCATTTCTGTAGGTTGTCACATGGTCTCATTTCTTTCAAATAAATTGCAGAACACCTGCCTTACTAATAATAATTCTCAGAAATAGTTTGTGCAATTCTGGTGTTTATTTACATAGTTTGCCTTTATCACACAAATTACACAATGTCCCTTTTTGTGTTGGAATCTTCTAACACAAACAACAGGCCAAAACCAAACTTATTCCCAGCCTAAGTAGTGCAATGAAGAATTAAGGTGGTTTACTTGTTGGTACACAATAAGCAATGTTCTGTTGCTTGATTGTGTTCTTGTTTTTCAGGATGTATAGGAACTGAGCAAGAGTAACTTTAAACAGCAAAGTGACTTCCCCCATCCATGTAACTTTGTTTCTCTTGCCAACATTGCACATTTGCAGATATTCTGGTTCTCTAGGTCACTCCTTCCTTCTGCATCCTTGAGGGCTCTCTTGTGTGGCTGTGTGCTTCTGTGTGTCATGCAGCTATGCTCATCTCATAAACCAAATCTCAAAGAGTTTTGTGGCTCTTCATAATTTTTTTGCAAGTGTGTTCTTATGCCACCAGCAGACCCTTTCTCTCTTGACTGCCAGATGGATGTTTGCAAAATGCAAGCCTTTAAAGTTCTTTTTCATCAGTTTCATATAGTTTTCTTTGAGATGCAGTTAAAATTTGAGCATTTTGGTTGAGTGTATTTTGATTTATTGCCACAATCGGTAATCTTAGCTGTAGGCTTTTGAGAATTCCAGTAGCATTATGACTATATTTACTTAATTGCATTGCAAGATTTGGGGTTTGGCGAATTAATTTAGCTTGTTTGTTTAAAGCTTAGAGTTCTGTTCTTCAACATACAGTTTCATGTTTGTAAAAATACACTCACCTTCTGGGATGAGGTGAGTTAATAGTTTCAGGAGGGTTATCAGGAGGTAGGAAAGAATGTATTGTTCCTTTCTATTTGAGTACATACAATTTGGGACGTAGTGGTTGCATAATTTTCTACCTGTCAGAGTTAAAGAAAGTTACAAAGGGATGGAGAAACACTAACACAGTGGTGATTGTTCTGGGAGTTGCACAACTGATCAGTGCTTGCTTGCAACAATTTCACATTTTACATGGGAAAATGCAGTCATCATTTCTTAAAGCAGCTATGTTTTCATTAATACTCTAATGTTCTATGGCGTACCTAGGAAAGAATCACTTTTGTGTTGAATTTTGAAACCTTTCAGAACATGGTTTTCTGTGCAAAACGACATTCATATTTGGCACTGAAATCAGTGTATGGGAGAGGCTTCATTGGTGGTCGGTACAATTTTGGGATCTCCTAGTTTCTTTTCTTCTGTCTTCTGTTGGAATTGCCTAATAGAGAAAGTAGCTTCAGATATATAACACTGGCAATTTCATTGTTTGTAATAGTGCAATAATTTTCTTATTGGCTCCCAAAGGTCTTCATTCAATAATAATTTCTAAATTGTTTATTTTCTAAAATATTTACTCAAACTGGAGGCCTTATGAAATTTACCTAATGAACCTTCTGTTAAATCTGTTGTGCTCTGAACTTTGAGTTATGAACAAGATGAGTATTTTTAATTGTCTCAAATGACACATTCTTATTTTGCATCCTGTGTAAACAACATAATAAAGTGTGTGTTGACATTCTTAAGTTGCCATGCTGAATAACTGTCAGCTTGTTGGGAAAAGTAACATTTTAATGTAAACACTGGGTAAAACTGAGTTCATTATCAATTTTTAGAGTGTGTATATGTATATGTATATATATAAAAAATAAACAGTGGTGAAACTTCACCTTTGAGTGTTTAAATATGATGCAATGTTTTTAAATCAGAAAAAGCTGACTAGGCTGACTGTCTTCCTGTTTAGAATGTGTTGCACTATTCTCCCCCAGAATTTACAGACAATTGTAAATATACCTTCAGTAAAATTTTTTATGGACATAATGATTCTGTGTGTGAGTGCATATATAAGAGAAAAGGAGTATTATGCAGTGCAGTATAATATAGAATTGTTATAATACATGAATGGCAATAGATTATTCTAAAATTTACAGAAGTTTGTGGTAGATTTCTGCCATCATGTACTGTTATCTTTGTTCAGAGCCTAAATGTTTTCATTAAACATATAAAGCTTTCTTAAAAAGAAACACAGAAGTCTCTTTCATCTCATGCTAAAGTACTGCTTCTTTATTTAATTTTTAGATTGGTAGCATTCTGTTTGAGAAACCTCTTTCAAATAAACTGCTCTCAAAAGCTGTTGATAGCTATACCTTGATACATGTGTATTTTTTGGTGTATAGGGATGCAGCAAGACAAGGACTTTCTACATGAGGTCTGACAGTGATTCTTTGCCATCATAATAAGTAATGAAATACGGTTTTGCAGTAACTAGAAAGGAGGAGGATTAATTTCATTCTTGCTTCAAAGCCAACTCTAGTATTAATTCTCCCTATTGCTGTGCAAGAAGCAGAGTCTCTTTCAGGGCTTACTGGCTACATCACAGTGGCTGAATAGCTGTTCACACAAACAGCTTGTACTGTATGTTAAACATAAACTGTGAAGCAGTTCCTCATAGTCCTTGAAATTTTTAAATTCCTCTAATGGAACAGTCATGTAGTTGCTCTTCTGTGGCCTCATTGATGGTAGGAGAAAAAGACATAGGTGTATGTGTCTGAGACCATGTTTCTTCAGGGCTTGAGGAAGAAAGTAACCTCTCTCTGGGTAGAAGAGAGGTTGCCAGTGCCTGTGCTGAACAAGATTCAGCCTTTGCTCTGGGTAGCCCCTCAGGCCACTCAGTGGTGGCAGTCAGCAGATGAGTAGTTCTCAACTAGCCACACTGATCTGTCATGTAATTGCTGGCCAAAGAAAAGTAGGTAGGGGAAGCTGAAGGGTATGGTGGGACACCTCAAGATGTGCATTTGAAGATGGAAATAGAAAAAATAGGAAGACTAGAAGAAGGTTTTATGGTAGGGGACACTTGGGATGTAGGAGGAGGGAGTGGGAACTAGGTGAAGTGGGCTAAGAGGGAGTGTAAGGAGAGATAAAGGAATCAAAGCTAAAACCTGGGCATATAGGGCAGAACCAGAAAGCATAGTGTTACTTTTGGAAATAAGAGATGGGGTTGGGAAGGAGGAGGAACACAAATAGTATTGCAATGAAGAGAGAAAGAAACAAAACAAGGCTCTATTACCTATTGCCTAAGCTCAGTTTCTGTTGAAAAATCTCTGCCTGATCCCTAGCCTTCCACATTTGATTACCTTGGAAGACCACAGATATGTTTTGTGACAGATTGAAGTCCCTGTGTAGAAGACACTGTTTTCCAGATTATTTTCTAGTATTCTAAAATTTCAGATCAAAAAATGCTGCCTTTTGCATTTCCTATTATATCACAAAATATGCTTCTGCAGTTGTACAATATTGTGGGTTTTGCCATTGATACATGCCTCCTTGAAATGCTGTATTAATTCTGGTAGCTATAAAGACGTTTTGTCAATCTGTTTTTATTTGTCTGAACATACTGGCTATTGAGTTCACATTGTTTTGGTAGGATTTTAGTATTTACAGATGGTTAATTATTTAAATTGAAACATAATTGGAAAATATGTTCTCCACAACTAATTAATAAAATGCAAAATGACTTCTTTTAATTAGGATTACTGTTGATTATGTTTATTGCCTCTTAAAACCATAATCCTAAATTATTATTTTATAGTACTGTAAGTCTAATATGCCTGATTTTTTAAATAACTTTTCTATGTAGAAAACTTGCACAGCAGGTATGTTCCTTTTTTTTTTTTTCTTATTTTTATTTTTTTCTCCCCTGGCTGTGTCATCTTCCAACTTTTTCTCGTCTTGGGTTGTTTGAATTTCATCTTGCACTTTTTGAATGTCTTTTCCTTCTTTATGGTGGGAGGGGAAAAAGAGAAGATGTAGCAGCTACATTTTCTTTGCTTTTGGAGCTAAATCTAATGACAGCTGTACCGACAATTTTCTTCTGTGTTTACATGCAGCCAGGAGCTATGGGCGGAGAAGAGGTAAAAGTATTTACTAAATGTTTTGTTTGCTGAATAGTGGGAGAAATATCTAGTTCTCTTACGTTGTTACCAATTTTAACGTTATTTGATTCATCAATTGCTTTGTATAAATCAATCTCATATTCTTTATTTGCAAAACATCTCCCTTTTAATAGCAGCTTAAAGCAATTATGATCTTGAGATGATAACTTCAAATGTGTTGCTATTACTAGTGAACTGGAGGATGACTGAATGTAGACTCTTTCGTAACACATATTTATGACTTCAAATGCGTAGTGTTCAAAAAAAAGATTGTTTTCAGGTTTGGGTTTTTTTTTGGTTTGGGTTGGGTTTTTTTTGTAGAACTACATTTAACTAGTGTGTTGAAAATTTCAAAAATACTTTTTTCTTAGATGCAACACCTTTCATTTAATATTACATTTGAGTATTACATTGGCTTGCCTTAGGTAGAACATTGTGAATACTAATACTAATAACTGTCCTCAACAGTGAATATTGATAATGATAATAGTAATAAAAGATTCAACATTTGAGCACATTTTAACTTTATTTCATCACAGGCAACCCTTAAAAAAATAAAAGCAGAGTGAAAACATTTTAGAAGTGTACAGTGCTGCATATATCTTTATTCAGAGAGATTAATGGATATAGACAATAGCTACCTCGCTGACTACCAAGCTACTTATGTAGCTTACATTTATGTACTTTGTTGTAGCTTACACAGACTGTTTTTATTGAGAAAATAACAGTGAAGATCGCAGCTTTCAACAATTAGAGTTGGGCAGTGCCATCTGCTTGGGGTACTTTGGCATTAAACTTCATTTTATCTTCTTTTTCATGTATGTTCTGTGACAGCTATGCATGTGACATTGCTTCCATTACAAAATGTAGACCTTGCATCACGTTTGTGAAGAAGCTTGGAAACAAACCTAGCCATAGAAGCAAGCTGATAGCATATAAGTAAATTGTAGTTTGCACACATGTATGGATTGAGGTAGTAGGCTGTACAGGTTGTACTAACACACTTTATAATATAGAATTTGATCTGATTTTGTTCAAAGCCAACTACTTTTAATGTTTATTTGATAGCTAAACCAAAAAGATTTACGTTTTCCCCACAAACTTACCTTCCTATTTTTCCCTGCTTCCAGAGAACAGGCTATTGTTAACAGATGTTGAAAGCTTCCTGACACTTTTTCATTGCGCTCATGGTACTGAACCAAACTGGAAAGTATGCAGAGTATATAATATTGTATACTCTCTGTGCATGTGAACACTGTTTAATTTCATTTTAAGATTGTGGCAAGTGTTTCCAGATTGATCAAATAGCACCAAAGTAGGGAAGGAGGGAGATGGCAATCAGTTGGACAGTATTAACTTCTTGCAACTCATATTTACTTGTAGAAGTGAAATACGGTAACGTGGCAGTAATTGTGACAAATACAGCGTAGGCTGTTTTATACAAATTGTAGTGATGACATAACAGGGCGTGTAGGTTTGGAAAGTGCTAGGCTTTCAGAATTTTTGTTACTCTACCAAAAAGCATGTTTCACTCCATAATAATTGTTTCCTATGTGAAATTCAAGCTTTTTGATTGTAACAAGTAGACTTGTGTGTGTGTGTGTGTGTGTGTGTGCGCGCGTGTATCTTGTCATTGATGTTGGGGATTTTGTGACTTGCCTTCTTCATACAATATTAACGTCTGTGATATTCATGCTTTTTCATTACCTTGAATTTTAGAGTGTTTTGAGCTTTCTTTACCTCAAGAAACATTAAATTCTACAATAGCCTGTTAAGAAATGTTGTGTTGTTTATCAACTATTCTCATATATCCCTCTCTATGATTGTTTTTACCATTTGCATTGTGGTAATATGCAGAGTACCCAGAGGTGAATCTGTGCAGGGACTCATTTCATGTTTATTATACTTGGATATTTTAATTAGTGTTTGATTCTGTCACTGTGACTAAGCATCTTTGGTGAGAAGAGGCTTTGTCAGAAATTTCTTGGAGGTTGCCATAACCTATCAGTTCTTTACTTGATCCTGCATTTTCTTTCTGTAAAGAGGCAAGCCTTTCATGCTTAGAGCTGCTGAGTCATGCTCTTTTAGGTACCTTGTTTTTAACTTTTACAACCAGTTTTTCAGGTACAGAAGTAAGCACAGCTATGGGAAATCAGCCCAAAAGCTCTTCTGCTACACTGACAACTCAGAGATGCCAGGGGAGGTGCACAGGAGTATAAAAATAGGGCATTTAGTGATGTTTTCCCATAATACTCTCCCAGAGATTTGCCTCTGGGAGTTTCTCGAGGTGTTATCTCAATATTTATTGCTTCAGAATGGGTTTTTCTCCTGTTCTTGCTTATTCCCTTTTCTGAACATACATAAACTTTTCAGCATCCTAAAAAGCCTATGGCAAGGGATTCCACAGTTTGATTTGCTTTCAGCCTTGCCACGTACTGATTGTGTTCAATGCACTTTCCCCTTACTGGAAGAGGTAGTGAACAGTCCTTCCCTACTCCCATGTCTGTATGCTTTCCATGATTTGAAATGTATACTTCATACATTTAACTCTATACTTGACTTAACTATAAAGTTTTAGATCATCTTTTGCATTTACTTACGATGAGTACAATGCTTGCAGACTGTCAAGCTTCTAGCATAAGAGGTGACATATTTCTTTTTAAGCTGCTGTGCTTTTTTATTTCCTTCAGAACTCAGCACTTACTCAGCCTTCTCTGTAGATACATATTTTAGTTCAACACCTTGTTCTAGTATCCATTAATTTTATATGTCAGCTTCCAATAATGGCTCATGTTTGTTATTTAGTTTTTACATGAAGGTAGGTTGGCAGGGTGGGAATTAAAAGATTATTTTTATAATAAATAAAATATAATATGAAAAGATTATTATTAGCTTCTTGATAATGTCAACCTTTCATGGATATTTTCAAATTTCCTACTTTTCTGTGGGTTTTCTGATTTGATATTTTTACACAATTTTAGCCTTCCTAATTATTATTTCTCTCATGCATGTGTTCTCTTTTATGCTGAAATGTGAATGTTTATGTATGTGCATGACCTGTTTGTCCAGTAACGGAATATTCATCAATAGTCTTTCCTGTTTTATGCTCTAAACCCACCATTTCTGACAACCAGTTATACTAGACTTTAAAGGGTAGCATCTCTAAATCCTTCTCTGATTGTGGCACTTACCCTGTTTTGTTTGGTGCTGCTTTAAAAGCACAGTAGGATCTTTGCTTCAGTAGATTTTTGTACCTGTGATCTCTGTCAAGGTTGTGCATTCAATATATTCCTTCTAATCCAGACTTTGCTAGTGCCTAGTATTCATAAAAAATCAGGCTAGTGTTCCGTGCCAGTCAGAATATCTTTCCTGGTTTTTCTTAGCTTGTTTTCCATATATAGGATTGCTGCTTCTTCTTGTAAGCTGTCCTTTACTACTGAAGACTCTACTACCAATATTTTCAGTCTGTATACTTTTCTGACTAGTGTCCCTCTGCATGTCTTGATTTTTCTCCTTGCCCCTGTTTTTATTTCCTGTGCTTCCCTGTGTTGTTAATACCAGTATGGTATTAATTCTTCCTTAGGTCTTGCTGGAAGTCAGTTTCATGTGATTCATTACTTTTGAATTTAATTATATGCCCTGCTATTTGTATTTGTAGTTAACTCCCCTGTAAACTGTTTGTGTCAATTAATTATAATTCCATCCCTGGAAGCAATCCTCCATGATATGAGGGGACAATTAGCCTTTTCAGAGTTGAGCTGGGGTTCCTATTTGTACATCTCTCTACATTGCAGGATTTATTTTTCAACTCATGTATAGGGAATTATTAAATTCTAAAGTTGGCATGTTCTACAGTGTTGCTTACATACAGACTTTGAATATTTCTTTAGTTTATCTTCTGAGTTAATAAATCTATTCTTAAGATAATGTGTGTATACTTTGGTAGTAATGGCAACAAGTTAATTGCATCAGATGATCACAAATAAATACTTTTCGTTAGCAAACGAAGTAGCAGCCATTGATGTTGCTTTTTGTTAGTTCGTTACTGAAAGGGTGTTTTAACGCTGAGTAATGGCTTGACAGGCTGTCCTAGCTAAAAATTTTTTTCTTCAAGTGCAAGATTTTTGTAGTTTATTTAATAAGATTTTAAAGGGTGTTTTTTTTCTTGTTAGCTAAGCTCCTTGCTTCACCTACCTGTTTAATATCCACAATACAAAGCTTTTCTATGTTTATTTTGCTGTTTGCCCCCCCTACTCAGACTGGGCCTCTGTTCACTCAAGGAGGAAGTGGTTAGGACCCTGTAAAGCACTCTGAAGGAGACTGTCCTGCTCTGCAGTGCAGTGGCTTGAGGGATCTGCTCTTTAAGATCATTCCTTCAAGATCGGTTATGGAAGATTTAAATCTCTAAGAATCAGTTTGAAATGTACATCTTACAAAGGTTCTTTCTATAACTATGATGCACAATTTCATCAGATAACTTGTTGGTTTTCATTGCCAGCTGTTTGCAAGGGTTTGTTTTAAAGCTAAATTTGGTTATGGTCTTGTAAGGATACTATAGTCTTGGAAAAATAGAAGCAGTACTAATGAACATCATTTGGATGGACCACTTAGCTGGGCCCTTTAATGCAACTTCTGTTAAAGCAAAACAGTAAAAGGAAAAATATAACCTTTTTTACAGAAATATTTAATTCTCCAGGAAATAGCGTTAACTATAGATACTACAAAATCTGTTACAGGTCGGTCATCACATTGAAGATGGCTTCCTAGACGACAGTCATGGTGATCAGTCTTTATCATCGGGTCTCAGCTCTCCAACACGCTGTCAGAATGGTGAAAGAGTGGAACGCTATTCTAGAAAGGTGTTTGTTGGAGGTCTTCCTCCTGACATTGATGAAGGTACTGTGAATAAGTTACATTGGTGAGATGTGGGAATTTTCTTTCACATAATTACTTTAGATTTTCATAAAAACAAATGTATTTTCCCAGGTATGTTGCTTGTAGTGCTTGTGGCGTTATTTAAAATGAACAAACACCACCACCCCCTGCAATGCCAGAGAATTTACCTGACATTCTTTTGTACTGTACATCAGAAGAGATGGAGACAGAAATGCCTGCATAGCAGGTCTTCTAATCTGCAATAGCAGTGTGTGTTTCCATGTGTGTGAAGTGGGAACATTTTTCTTGAAAAAGGGAACTTGGTGGGTACTGTCACTCCTCTGTAGTCTTTCTCAGTTTTTTTTAAAACATGTGGTTCACTTTAAGGACTTGTTAATACAGTCCTTACCAAAATAAATCAGGCTTTAATTAAACAGCTCTTATATCAGCATATATACAGTGTTCAGTTGACAAACAAATATGGTCACAAAATAATAACAAGCTTAGTAGGTTAGGTTTTTTCTCGGTCTCAATCAATATCTACTCTACTTGTGTGTACCCCTACACACCCTGGCTCCCAAACCAAAATAATGATGCTTTTTGGTGTGTTTTTCATATTATAGCTGGAATCTACCACTATCTAGCTTCAACTGGCATACATAGGGAATTTGAGGATGCTGTATAATTAAAAGTGAGGGATCTCCGAATCTGATCTACTAAATTGAAGCCTAAGCCATGTGCAGGTTTGATAAAGAAACACTATGAGTTGCCAGTCTGTGGTTTACAAACAGCTCAAATGCAGTTCCCGTGACACATGATGAGTTGCAGGACTGTTGATATAGGGACTGCTGGGAAGTCTGGATCCCTGTCTGTAAGAAGCAGCAGGTGAACAAGTACAACTGATGTGAACGTTGCTGGGTCACTCAAAATCAAAATATATGCCCGCCTCTCCTGCAAGGATAGGCCGTGTTACTACATGGCCACTCGGAACCTGTTACTCTTCCATGAGAGGTCTACTCCAGTAACACCTTTTTCCTTCAGCTCCTGAGTTATGTAATATGTGCTTTGTGGCTCTAGTCACTTGAAAAATGTGACATGCAGTTCATGGAGTCAGATAAACAGCACACATAACAATCAAAAAACAGCAATCAAAAAATTAGAAAACCACTGCCTTTGTGTTCAAAGTTTTCTTCTGATGGATTGTTGCTCTGTCTAGCATCACATTAGACACAATTTTAAACTAATTATTTCTTTAGAGTACATAAATGCACTGTGAAAAAATATTTTAAAAAACCAAAACCTTAAAATACTTTTTTCTGAAGCATTTGCATGTAGAGCAAAGTTGTCCTATAGGATAGTTTGGGACGTGTGTTCTACAGTGTTTCTAAATTGATGCTTAAAAAACTAAGAAATGACTTGGTAATTCAAGGCAGTTTTCCAGAGGGGACTGAGGAAGGTGAAATCCCCAAAGCCGCATGACCTGATGCAGCCTGCTTTCTAGGGCATGCTATAAGGAGTGGCCATGCTGACATGTAGCTCCTTCGTCAGTCCCATGTGGCTGCATCTGACCCTGCTTTGTGGTTATAATTAGAAATAGACTGCAGCTGAAGCATATTCACTTCTGATAGATCATGTTTGCATTTAATCCTGCTGCAAACTTGCATTACTGGAATATAAAATTACTTTTTTAAGCAGCTATGTATAGCACAGAGGTGAAGGAATATCTAGGCATCCTCTATGTACATTATTCCAGTTTGTACTGTTCTTAATAGGTGTAGAAAATACTGTTTTGTTTGTTTTAAGTAAAAATTTTTACCTTGCCACTGTCAGTCTTCAGATTCTCTCTAAGGTGCCTCATTTGTTTTTTGTAGATGAGATCACTGCCAGCTTTCGTAGGTTTGGACCTCTTGTGGTGGACTGGCCTCACAAAGCTGAAAGCAAGTCATATTTTCCACCTAAAGGTAATTAGTTTAAAATACATTTATGCAGGCTCTTCTGGTAAAAAGGAACTATGTCTGCAATGTGTCAGTCCTTCACAAAGAAAAGATTTGACTCTTTATGATGAATTTTCTCTCATTCAACAAGCATATTTTCAGCAGTTGTCATGACAGAAAAAACACAATTCAGTGACTGAAATGTGGTCCTGTGTGTTTATTTCTTCAGCAAGTCTGGAGTCCTTGAATCATGCCTTAATTTATGCTAGGCTTACTTTAGAAGGCAAGTTGCAGGAATTTCCTAGTGCTGATTCTGTTGCAGTTTGCATATTGTGGAAACTACAGGAGTATTAGCTGGAAGTCACTGGTGGATTGGATGCACAGTATTTTGTAGAGAAGCATGAGTCCGCTTTGTGTGTGTTCTGATCCTGCTCAGAACCACAGGGTCTACATCAAGGCTCACTGGGTGCTGAACCACAGCAATGAGCTCTGCTAGGAGAGGGCAGGCTGGTATCGTGCACCACGCTCACGGAGCTTTTAGGTTGGAGCTGATTTGGTTTGGGGTGGTTTAGAGAATGTGCAAGTGGGGCAATTTCGTATATGTCAGCAAAACACTGTGCAGACCTGTTTTGATTGAGAAAGAACAGTTTATGGGAAATTGTTTGAGAGAATTACTTGGGTAAATGAAATTGCTCTTATTGTATCCTAGTCTCACCTATGAACTTGTATTATATTACATACGTTATATACTCAGTCATGCATGCCTCTTGCATATAGTTTGGGAGTTCACTCGTCATCTGAAAGAGTAGCATGAAGTTACACACAGAATTTCTGCTCTACACGTTAAGATTTTATGTTCTCACTGACCCTGAAAGCTCTTAATTGCTCATTAAGGGTTGGGCTGTTCAGTCAGTGAACTAGCTAATACTACAATATCTTGATAGATATATTTTGACTGTAAAAACCACACAAATAAAAGCCAACTTAATTTATCTGGAAGCTTCAGTGCCGGAGGCAAGATAACTCTGTGACAAATGCTTGCCCTGTAAACAGTATTTGGGACACTTAAAACCAGAACAAAAACCCATACATGTTCCCTCTTTCCTGTTCTATACTCACAACTCAGCCTTGCTGTCAGTAGTTATTATGCAACATCTGTTCTTGAATTTAAAAACAAAGCAAAACAAACAAAAAAACCAAAACCAACAAGAAAACACCCTAAAGCTCAAACACCACCCATATATTCCTAAGGACAGTTGGTAAAATATATGGTTTTCCCTTTTTATTTTATTTTTAAAGGTCTTTAGGGTCTTTCGGGCTAGTGAATTCTGATTGTACTTTCAGTTATGAGTTAAAACAAAAATGTAGTAAAACCAGCTTCTCCTTGTCCCTAATATCTCCTAGTACTCTCCATCTTTTTTTTTCTTTTTTTTCTTTTTTTTTTTCCTTCTTACTAATTCAATAAGTAACTGTTCATGGTAGATCAATATGGGATTTCAAATTATGATTTTTTTCTATGTCTGACAGCGGACTAGTTATGCCTCGCCAAACTTGTAAAAATGTTTTTGAGTAAGATCTATTTTAGCAGAAGACAAGGGAATGCAGCCTCACTTCTATTTTTGTCATGATTCTAATATAGGAAACAGCTTTCAAAGCCCCTGCCAGTTGCCCTGAATGTCTGTCTGAAAGTACTAAACAACAGTCAATCCCAACTGTTCCAGATTTATTTATAACTGACTTAGTTATCAATCAGGGCTGCAGCATCATACGTCCTGCATTCCTGTCTCTGAGATTCACTTACAGTCATGTTAAGCTCGGTAGGTCAAATGTACTTGACTTACTATGATCCCTTGCAGGCAGCATCTGCATAGAAGACAGAATGTTATTACCAGGAGTCAAAGGGTAAAGTTTGAATGAATATTTTAAATTTTTTCACAGCTTTTTGGTCTATTTTACATTTATAAAGAGTCCCTCTTTTCCGAAGTTATTATGGAATCTTTGAGAGAAGTACCACAATAAAATGCCTCCACTGCTGTTTTTCATTAGCAATTCCTTTAGAACTAAAATTCTTATTTTTATTTTTTTTTACTTTTTTATTTTAAGCTGTTTTGATGTATTATCAGGCATCTCTTGAAAAAACACAGTGCAATGAAAAGGGATATTTGAAATTATGCTTGGTACAAAATTCAGTGACATGACTCATTCAGCTGTCAAATACTCATGAATTCAAATGTTTTCTCCGTTCTTTTTTCTAGATATCTGCTCTTCCATGTTGCATTGCTAGCCTGTAAATTCTCTGACATTTTGAATATGACTCTTTCAAATGGAAAATATGTAAAAAAAAAAAAAAAAAGACATGAAATAACAGAGGAGAGAATGAGTTGGGTTTTTTGTGCTAGCAATCTCAAAGGAAAATAAGAAAAGTGGATTGTTGGAATGCAGTGGGAATGATGCAGAGGCTAATCTTTGTTCACACATTAATAAAGCCTGACCTCCGAGGTTTCTCCTACCTAATTGAACGTGCCCCACTGGCAGTAAAATTGAACCCTGCTCTTTCTGAAAATATGCCATCACCTCCAGACAGACTTTAGTGTCCTTTTGATGGGGAGCCTTTTTCATCACTCCTTCATGTCTATAGGGTCAGAGCAGTGGGCAGTGTCTGGACTTACAACAAAGTTCAATATTTTTTTGTTTGTTTGCTTTGATAAGCATTCAGTGAGAGGTTTGAAGCAGACACTGTCACTGGTTGATGCCATGGGTCAGCATAGTCAGCTGAGTTTTACACTAGGACAGTTTTACATCATGGTTTTCTGTCTTCATAGTTACATCCGTGGGATAACATCCCTCACAGTCCTCAGTGTATTAATACAGACTTCCAGTATCTGCTTACTGGTATAATTTATTGAATTTGTGGAATGTTTACTATGTTGGTGCAATGTATGAATTCTGTATAATAGTCACACTATACTAGGAACAGTCTGTTGATATTCTTAGGGCTGAGAACAAAAGGCTGCAGGAACTATTAGCCATGGCTAATCTGATCAAGCAGGCAATCTGAAAGATTAAAATAAAATGTCGCTTACAGTCTAGTGACCTCCACCACCACCCCCACCTCCCCAAGGGCTTTTTCTGGTTAGTTTAGTGGGCAGGTCAGGCCATAGATGTGTAGGCAGTTCTAGGAAGCTTTATTAGCTAATTTATTAGTTGGTATGGGGTTGACTAGCTTAGGTGCAGTGGCATATAAACTGTTTTCAGAAATAGCTGGAGTCCGGAAACATTCCTGCAGTGTTGAGTTTGAACAAAGAAGGTTTTCCTGGATTTGGCAACCTGAGCAGGTGCACTTAGGCACATCACCTCAAGTTCAGTGCTGGACCTGATGGACATAAACTTGTTGTGTGTGAAATATCCTGAACTGCAATCTCCAGCATGGTGAGTTACACAAGGCTTATTTCAGTGCAGTGCCAACATTATGATTTTGGACCTTGGGGAATTGCAGATCAAGATGGATGTGTCTACACCGTATTCCTCAAGCACATCTATCCTATCTGTGTTATCCAGGTTTACCTGTTTTACCAGATATTCTAGATTTTTGTTACCCTTGCAGAGACTTGCCTGACATCACAGAATAAACTGAGCATCTATTTGGGAAAGCCGTCTGGCTTGGTCAATGGTTGAGTTTTGGTTATTACAGTAACAAAACCAAAATCATCTGATAGATCAAACAGCCCTTGCAGGATGTGTCAGTTGCCTGTGAGTTCAATATTTTAGGTTGCTCAGAGAAGAGGGACCGGTGGCACCCAGCTGTTTTGTCACTGAAAGTGTATACTATGCTCCTGGGCAAGAGAAGCTGCTAACAGCTGACAGTGTGTATAAGAAGTTGCTATTTCTAGTTCTGAGCATCTGTATTATTGCCTTAACATTTCTTTTTACCTCTCCGATGCACTGTAAAGCTTAGCACCAGGTTTTTATGTTGGTGTCATCCATGAGATGATTTTAATGCTTTGCTTCTGAATAAGGCAAATTCATTCCCACTGCCTGAAAAGTCTTTGGATTACTTCCTTTGGCATCTGTTTGGATATGTTAGTAACAGAACTGGCAAAATTATAAATGCCATGTGTTGGTCTTGGGTAAGCAGATGTCCAGTTTGTAATGTGTTTACTTGGCTTTCACCACAGAGTTTTGGGAATTAAATGTGGTTTGTGGCTAAGTATTTTTTGAGTACCTATGAGATGTGGAAAAATAATGAAATATGCGCTGAAGAATGTTATCAAATCTAGTAACACGTTACTGTGACACAGTCTGTTTAACTCTGTCAAAATCCAGATAATTCATATTTTATTTCAATATAAATTCATGGGTTTTTTACTTATTTGCTGGTTTGCTGAATTAAGTAATGCTTATGCTAACTACAGTCGGGATTTTTTCCCTTTTTTTTATTAAACAGATGGTGCCAACTGTTGCAAAAACATTCTTTTAGTTTTTTAACAGATTGCTAGCTTTGAAACAACTTTTTTAAGTCTTTACTGATTTTTCTTTGTGATAACTATGATTTTTCTAGCAATCAGTAAAAACTGCACAACATGTTTTAACATGGCAAAAATTATGCAAAAGTCTTCCTCTGTTGCTTTCCATTTAGGAGGACTGATGTTTGGATAAAGATGAGATACAGACTGAGAAAATTAAGCATGGAAGAGCTTGGAGATAGGATGGGTTTGGAACAGGAGGAATGCTTTGGCTTTACAGTTGATTTACATGTGTGGTGCAGCAGTTTGATCCTCTTCTGTTTTCCCTGTTCTTCAGTTAGCTGTTCTGTTATTTCTGTTATAAAAATAAGCACACTTGTCCCTGCTGCTCTACATGGGACACTAAGGATGAGTAAGATCTTGTGAAGAAGAAAATAGTGTTTGCAGAGTTGCACAAAGTAACATTGTGGAGTGATTCTCATGCTTTAATTTAAAACAACTGGGGGCACAGACTGTATGAGCCTTCCTGATGATCTCTAAGGTAACATTACGTAGGAACACTGT